TGCTCAAGTCTCTGCATAGTAAAATAGCGCTATCGGCACGACAGCTCTACGAATCCAAACCTTTGTGCCGAGGAGGATACCACGGCCAGTACAGACTGAACGTTGCAGTCCGTCAAAGGCTTAACTGGATTTAGAGATCTATGTTGCAACTTTGTCGACCCTGATTATCTGTGGGATCGTGCGGTTCAGGTATGAGTATTGTCTTAATGGTATGAGGTCAATACTATTAACGACTACTATGGATTTAGCCAATTCAGTCATTGCCACAGGTAGGCGTGAAATAGCTCTTTTTGTGTGCTTTCAGTTGTTCTGAAATTGGAACAATCGCAGACGGACAGGTTCAGACTTCACTGTATGTCTGCTTCAATAAACAGTCGTCAGCATGCATCCTAGACCTTGAGATCATTTTTGATGGCATAAGAACCTCCGCCTATGCGTGTCATACGCGTGCTCGGCAATAGTTACACACTCGCGCAGTTTATGAGGCCTGACAAATGTGCTTACTGAGACAATGCAGTTACAACCAAGGACAGCCAATCACTCAGTCCGTTTATTGGTACACAAAATACACGAAATTGACACAAACAGACCAAAAATTGCCCCCGGTGTTGGTCACCATATCCGACGAACCATCGGTAATGAAAAAGGCTTCCACCACACGAGAAATCGTCCCCGTCGATCTATTTTGATTACGCACGGGATATAGGTGATCTCGTTCTGCACTAACACCCGCCAGTCGCAACGCACGAAACCTGAGTAGTCAAGAAGAGTGACCGAGCCGTTGCTATGCGACGGTCCTAGACAGTTACGGAATGGAACAGGACAAGTATGTCCACTCTCCCAACCGGATCGGCGAGGTCCCACTACCATACCACATTGAACACTCTCGACTCAGGCCGATATGAGATATGTCGGTGGTTTAGATGGGGGAGCAATCACTTGTTGGCCAACTAACCGAGCTTCATGTCTAATGCCTGTGTGACTTCCGATATGGTTGGCTGATTATGACATATAGACCGAAAGGTTCATTGCAGTATCCCATATCTTTGTTAGTCACACTAACAAAGGCTAACGTCTAATGGCATGTCTGAGGGCATCACTGAACCAGGAGGAAGCAAAGAAAGTGATCGCGCATGGCTTACCCTCCACCACAGCTTGTCAAAAGTTGGAGAGTAAAATTAAGCATTCTCCATTAGGAAACGGAGGTGAGCTGATTGCATTAGCTGTGGAAACATGTCGGGTCAGCTGCCCCATAAGATACGTATATCTTCGAACACAGACGAGTGTGCGCAACGCAGCCCAGTAGTAGTAGTGGCAGTAGTAATGGCAGTATTAGCAGTAATAGTAGTGACATTAGTAATAGTAGTTATACTAGTAGAGGCAGTGGTAGCAGTAGCAGTGATAATAGTAGAAGTAGTAGTAGTGGCGGTAGTAGTAGTCGTTGTAATAGTAGTAGTAGTAGTAGTGGCAGTAGTAGTAGCAGTAGTAGCAGCAGCAGTAGCAGCAGTAGTAGTAG